ATATATATATTCGCCCTTTTTCACTGCTGTGAGACATCCTGATGCTTTCCATGTGTTTCTTCTCTACGATCTGTATGATGGGCTACGGCAGACATGGGGGGATAGGGGTGGGGTTGGGGGTGCTGTGGAGCCGGTGTGAGCATATGAAAAAGGAAAGAGGGGTAAGGGGGGATAGGAGGATAGGGATACTGCACCTTGTAACCATCGGGTCGACTGTTAAGTTTTACAAGTAACGTTTTGTGAGCTTATAAACGATTCTTTCTAAACTCCCACAGGAAACTCGAAAAACACTCTGTGATAATTTTCCTCTGAGGAATCAAGTCGATAGTCTGGAGAATCTACAGAGGTATCGATTACAGGAGCCCATTTTCATCTTTGAAGACCCTTTAAAATGAAATAAAAACAATCATGCTGGAAGTGTGCAGGTTTATCCATAGCTCTAATAATTCAGTGAGAAACTGTACATATAAAAATAAATATAAATTCAGTTCAGAAAATTAATTAGGCCTATCTCTGAATAAATAAAATATTTTTATTTTACAGGCTATTTTCAAATAAAGCCTATATTCGCAAACAACTCAATGCATGTTGATATATTATATGATGCAATTTTTAAAGCATGTATTATTTCTATATGCATTATTGCAAATATCTATTTATTCTAAAAGCTAAATCTAAAAAAATATTTAAAACAGCCTTCGTGAGCTATTCAGATATTAGATGCATAATAAACTGACTTAAAGGAGTGAAGCAAATTCGTTTATATTGGTGCAAAAAAAAAAAAAAATCTTCACTACAAACATCAAATCTATCATTTATAAGTTCTTACCATGGGCTGCATGTTGGACGAAACGTTTCCCTCTCTGACACTTCCCCTATGCAAAACAATACAGGGAGGCTGCAGAGCTGCGACCAAATTGGCTTCGTATTGGCTGACTGGCTCTCCAGCGCAGAGCAACCAATCAGACCAGAGAGGAGGCTTGGCGTATAGCAGCCAAGACTGACGTAGAGGACGCGTCAAATTAATTCCAGCAGAGTCTGGACTCCCCGGGATAACTCCAATTTGCATTTATCGGATGAAGATCACTTTGTTGCCTTTGCGCGCAACAGGTTTCCAACTATAAGAGGAAGGAGAAAACTGCAACCAGGACGAAACTGAGAGGGATCCACTTTTATTCCCTGCTTTTCTGGGTTCATTCCTCTGGCTCCCCCTTCCTCGTCTGGATTCACTATAGGACGCTCACAGCCATCTGGAGTGATACCCTTTACTTCCAAGCATCTCATACCAGTAAAGGCAAATGGGTAAGCCCAAAGTGTGCATGCTCCAGTGATGTTATGGAAGCGTAACGAAGTCGCCACAACAGAGTATAGACATTTTTGCATTAGACAAAAATCTAAAAGAGAGAGATCGCTGGCGACAGTTTGCCAACTTTATTTCATAGTGGATTGCTCTTGACTGCCTGTTTGAAGCTTTAACTCGTAAAAAGAACCACATCAACCAGTTACAAGGCGAGAGGTTCTTTGAAGGGTTTTCTAATGTCTATAATTCCGGCTCGCCATATTTAATGTAGTTTTTGTGAGTGCGCAAAGATGAACCAATCAGAAAACCTGCAAGTTTTTGCACGACAGTAAAATAGCGGATTAAAACCAAAGGTCTCAATAAATAGCTTTTTAAGCGTGGTTTAGATGCACGGTTGATATTTCAATTCAACGACAAATAAATCGATTGCTTCTGTGTGATATATATATTTATTTAGATGCTATTTTAAAAGATAGAGATTTAATTCCCGTCTTTTTTCTGCAGAGCAAACCTATGGAGAGGTGAACCAATTAGGCGGCGTGTTTGTGAACGGGAGACCCCTACCCAACGCCATAAGGTTGAGAATCGTGGAGTTGGCCCAGCTCGGAATCAGACCCTGCGACATAAGCCGACAGCTGCGAGTCTCCCATGGCTGCGTGAGCAAGATTTTAGCAAGGTACAACGAGACGGGCTCCATCTTGCCCGGTGCCATTGGTGGGAGTAAGCCGCGCGTAACGACGCCAAACGTGGTGAAGAACATCAGGGAATACAAACAGAGCGACCCCGGGATCTTTGCCTGGGAAATCAGGGACAGACTTCTCGCCGACGGTGTTTGCGACAAGTACAATGTTCCATCCGTGAGCTCCATCAGTAGGATTTTACGCAACAAGATCGGGAATCTCTCCCAGCCCAACCAGTACGAGAGTAGCAAGCAAGCATCCTCGCAGGCCGGGCTCTCCTATAACCATATATACCCTTATTCCTACCCCAACACAATGTCTCCAACAGGCGCTAAAATGGGCACCCCCCCTGGGGTACCAGTGACTGCTGGGCATGTTAGCATATCCAGGGCATGGCCTTCCCCGCACACTGTCAGCAACATCCTGGGAATACGAGCATTCATGGATCCTACAGGTAAGGATACAAACCCAGCTTATAAATGCTTTATAACTGTCTCAAAATAAGAGCTCTACATGCTGAATCAACAGCGCACTGTTCTTATATTCTGCATGATTGATTGCCATATCACCCAATACAATTACTTCTGGCATTAGGCAGCACTAAAAGTCCATTAAAAGTTATTCCAGTCCTCTAATTCACCATTCAGCCAGAACGCAGTAAGGCCACTCTCAATAGGCCTTTTCATGGGACGATGCATTTGCAAACACCTGTCTCACCTGCTCTATATCCAACCTGATCCTCCCAATAGCGGCTAAAAGCATTTACTTCTCCTTTTTTTTTTCTTTCTCGTGTTGAAATAATTTTGGAATGAAAATGTTATTATAATTTATCTTAGTTGTATTGCATTAAAAAATGTGTTTAGTCTACTCATTTGAATTGTATACTATAGATTCTGGGTTATAATATATAAGTAGGTTTTCAAAAAAAAATAGAATTATATAGTTTAGATTTTTTAAGTGAAAATATTGTTTTCTGGAGAATTTTGTCTTAATTTTTGCATAAAATAACATTTCATGTGTATTTTCACCTCTTTTATTATATCAAAATATTTTTCTTTGACGTAGTAATTTTTTTAATGCTTAAAATTACTTTATATTTTAGCCATTTTATTTTCGTTTTACCCTTTCTCTTATATATTTTCCTTTTTCAGTTTTATTTGAAATAAGGATTGTGTTGTAACTTAGAAAATAATTGCAAAGCTAAACCTGACAGCCTCTCCATCAACTAAAAAGAGAGTTTACATATATAACTTTAACATAAGTTGATTTTTTTATTCAGCCATTGCTGGGACGGAGGGATATCCGACAAAAATGGAGGACTGGGGCTGTGTGAACAGAGCAGCTTTCCCTGCTCCTCACACGGTCAACGGGATCGACAAGCCAGCCATCGACGCCGACATTAAATACGCTCAGGTAAATAATAATTATATTCACATGCCCTTAAAAAAAATCTAAACTGGTTAATCTCTCTTTGGTAACGTAAAAAGTGGAAATCATCAGCTTTTAAATGCACGTTTATCTAACCTAAAAATGATGTGAAGTGTCCCAATTATTTTCCAATTGTAATTTAGGTAACTAGATGTCCAATGTGTTTCAAAGGACTCATACAGGAGACACCTTAAAAATAGCCAAAGGAACATGTTTGGAGCCAAATGTCACAGTCGCACGCCATGACGCACACCCCTCCTTGAACACTTACTTATCTTTCTGCCCGCAGCCTTCCTCGACCCTGTCCAGTTACGTCTCAGCGTGCGCCTACTCTCCAAGCAACCAGTATGGAGTGTATAGTGGCCCAGCAGGTGGCTATGTGGCCCCTGGGCACCACCACTGGCAGCCCCAAAGCCCGGCCCTGTCCCACCCAGGCAGCGGCATGACCATGCACGCAGGGGAGATCCACTCGCCCATGGCCTTCAAACATCAAGTTCGAGAAGGTATTATTATTATTATTATTATTATTATTATTATTATTATTATTATTATTATTATTACATTGTTATAAACGTAGGCATCTGATATGAGCGCTTTTTTAAAATGTAAATAGGCTAAAAAAAATAACCAAAGTCTGATCACGCCCAGTTAGAATTAGAATTAGAATTTTATAAATTAATAATAAATATTTTAAAAATTTTGTAATATTTCCTTTTTTATTTAGCCTAAGTTAATATATATATTTTTCCCCTTTTTTTTCTTATCTGCGCTGATCAGGAGACAGAAAGCCTCCCAGTCCCCTGAGTAAACAGACACAGCAGCAACATGAAGACTTGAACGGTGTGCACGGACTCAGCCTCGCTACCTCATCCTCATAACCGGGACTCAAACACACCTTAATTACCAGAAACATTTACCTGAACTCATTTCAACTGCTCCAACAGTAAGTGAGATCACCACAGCGGCTTGTTTGTGACTGACAGTCAGAAACAGGAACAGAAGCCCCGTCCAGATGCGTAACGCGTGCGCGCAGCAGCTCTGTCGGCCTTCATGGCCACTTGAATGTAAGCTTGCATGGATTTTTTCCCCCCCCTCCCTGGTGGACAGTTTATTTACTCTCTCTGTTGTTGAAACAATTAATGCTGCAATAGGCTGTATCTAATTGAGGCTACAGGATAAAAATACTTTTATATCCGCTCAATGTTTATAAAAAGCCAAGATCTATTCTGTAATTCGAGATTTATTATTATCTTAAATTGTGGCCAGTGACTTGACGATGCGAACAAAAGTTATAAATTGTCTAAATGTAAAATATATGCTAAAGCTTTAATTATATTTTTTATATTTTCATTGTGAATATTGAAAAATAAAGGCTGTTTTCAATGCCATGTTGTAGCTTATATTATTATTATCATTATTATTATTATTTCTATGTGTGCCATCAAACAGGAGAAGCAGCGTTGCTGTTTATGTTAAATGAAAATTCCCAAAATGTCATTCTGCAATATATTCTCAAATAATTTTTTTTTTTAGTTAAACATTTGAATATTTTTTCTTTAAAAACAGGTAGGGATTGTTGAATAGTAAAATTGTCAGTCTTACACCCAGAGATGAAGCTTAGAAAAATAAATTATTTATTTTCAGTGAATAGTGGTTAAGTTTAATAGTGGCGTTTTGCTTTTCCTGGAAGCTTTTTTTTTTCTTTCTTTCTTTTTTTTGGGGGGGGATTGAACCCTAATGTCGTTGACGATTAGAAAGCTATTTAGTGGGAATTTTGTTTACTCAGCCATGGAACTATCTGCAGCTTGGGCGCCTCCGCTGATGCTATCTGGCTTGTAATTGATACCCGCCATGATGGAAATCTGAGGGTTGATCGTACACCTTCATCAAACAGGGGCGCATCTAGAAGTCATGAGGTTTAGATGCACTCACAAAGAACACCAGGAACACGTTTCATCCGTTGAAATGGCCAGACAAGGCTTTCCCAGTAGCGCCTATAGCTGTATCCTCTCAGTCCTGTTCTGTGGGCTTAATTGTTTGTTCCCATAACCTGTTTGTTTTCTGTCAACTTCAACGAAAAAAAAAAAAAAAAACTCCTAGCTGCACGCAGGTGAAAAATGGTTGCAGTTACACTACTTCTTAGAAATTGTTTTTTAGAAAAAAAATTTTTTCTTCTTGATTTTGGATCTCTTTTTAGAGCCTTTGGTAAATTGACTTTTTTGGCAATTTTTCTTTTTGCTGTGTTTGAGATTTTGATTTCTTATTTTATTATGGAATCCTCATTTACTTTAAGCAATATAATTTTTACTCATTATTTTTACAATTCATTTTGAAAGATCAACAACTAAAATAGCAAATCTTATTTAAACAAAAAGGAATTATTTATTTGAGTAAAATTAAACTTCTTTAATTTCTTGTTGCATGTTTAGAGGTTTTTGTAATATATCAATTAAAAGGTACATGGATAATTGTTTTTTAAAATAAAAAAAATGCTGGTTAGGAGAGGATTCCTTAAAAAAAAAAAAAAAACAAAAAAAAAAAACTGATGGTTCTGCTTTACATTATTATAGGTGATAATTTGAGCAAATATTTAGATGCACCAGTCAGCTTTTTTCTGGTCCATTCTGTTTTTCTCTTTTTTTCAGACCACACATGCTAATTTCAATCTGACCTTGCAATACAACATAAAAACTACATAAAATAAGCCGTGGTGTCTTTTACATTGTGAATTTAGACCCAACCAAAGATGAAGTAATTTCTACAATATATATACCAAACCTTTTCTTATTTTAGTATTGAAATTAAAACAAGTAAACCAAAGCACAAACACAATTTCCTTACTTAGTAACCTAATCAATAAAACAGCATTTTTTTATCCCTGCTAAAATATATATATATATATATTTATTTATTTTCTTAATTTCTGTCTTTGAACCACTTAATATCAGAGATGTTTTTAAATGTCATATTTAAATATCATATTAGAAGTTCGTTGAACGTTCTGTTGCTATGATGATCCCTGCCAAATATTCGCTGTTCTGATGCAGAGAAAATGAAGTTATTTTTTTTTAAGAGAAGCCCAGTTTAAGTTCAAAGCAAATGGTTGTAACATTTATATTTTTTTCTGAACTAAAAAAAATCCATTAAATAACATGCTTTTAGTTGATTGAATTATAGAGAAAACACTGTGGGAATATTTGATAGATTCACTAAAAAGAGGGGAAATAAACAATTTCCAGTATTTGAACTGCAGTTTAGAAACAATAGGTTATTTACGCATTTCTATATATAAAAAAAAAAAAAAAATCTGCTGTTTGTTCGATGCTTATTAGGTCAAGCAAGGGTTAGTGCTTACTTTTTTTTTTCACCAATGACCTTTTTTTGTTTCTTCCTCTTTCAGGAAGAGGAACAACCTGATTTGAGTGAAAGAAAATCAGAATCATTGATAAGAATATGGATCAAATGTTATACTTTATCAGTTCAGTATGTTTTTTTTTTTTTTGTTTGTTTGTTTCGGTTTTTTTGAGGGGAACATTTTAAGGACCTGGCTCAGAATAGTTTATAACATGAACAGAGTTTTAGGAACATTAAAGCCCTGCCTTAAAGTAAATATATTGTTGAAACTACATCAAGTTTAGTACGTGTTATGAATTTTGTATAGCACATTCTCAAATATCAAAACAGCTATATAGGTGTTATCATATAAAAAAAGTCTGATTTTATAAAAAATGTGTATCTTTATGTATTTAGCCAATGCTTTTATCCAAAGCTACTTAGAAAGTAGACATACTTTTATTGTTATCATCAGTATGACAGTAAGTTCTGTAGAGAAAAATCCCCTGTCAGAATCAATTGTGACAGCAAAGAGATAGAGGGAAGTGCAGAAAGAGTAGTAAAGGGGTACAGAGCTATGGAGTTAGGAAAGGTCTTTCATATTTTCCTTAGGTAAACTTTGCTTAGTTGAAAACTAATGTGTTTCTTTGATCACAGTTTGACAGAGATTGTGTCTGCTCTGAGGTCAGGCAAATACATCTGATGAAGATGTATAATAAAAATCAAACAGCTCAAGAGGAAGCAGATGTAAAGATGTGCAGGGAGCCTTTGTTTTTAAATATAAATATATGTTAATGTTTCATAATAACTATTTATAAATACTTTCAATGAGAGTAACATATTATTACTGTTGGTTCAGAATTAGTGTTTCTTTATCCTGTCTAAAATAAGATTAATGTTTATATAAAGATAAAAGATTCCCAGACCAAGGTAGCAATTTATTAAAACATAGCCTCTAAGCATTGTCTCCCAACATAGAGACCATAACGCAGTTTCACAACTGAGGTTTAAGCTCACTGGATACATTTTGGATGTCATGAACTCTTATATTGCAGAAGCTATTCCAATTCTTTTCCTGTTTTTTACACCAAATCCCAAGTGGCTTAGTATATCCAAACATTAAGATGGCCTTTGAATACACATGCTCCCAGGCTGGAGTCGTACGTGTTTTCCCGGATACCACTTGGGGTTCGGAAAACACTCCTTCATGGTGGTGGGGTTACTTCCTGCGGGACCTACGGTCATAAATCAGGGGAGCAAGTGATACCCCCCACTACGTCTCTGGCAGACGCTCCCTTTTCAGAGGGCAGCAGGTGGGCTAGTTTAAGATGTTTTTAGGAACTGACACGAAGCGCAGAAACATCCTTTGGAATGACTGCTGCATCAGGTACCCGTGGGTTTATTTGTCTGAGTTGTTATGAAAGATTACACTTTACATTCAGCATCTATTCCATGACTTTTGCATGACCTCAAATCCAGACAGAAAGACAGACATATGGATAGATAGGTACTGATGGTTGTAGGCAGGAAGCAGCTCATGTAGTAGTCTGTTTTACAGCGGATCAGGAGAAGCAGACTGGACATCTTCTCATGTTGTAAAACATTCCAATGGAGAGCAAGCTA